GAAAAACTGTGGAAAGTATGGACTACTGTGAATACCCACGCACGCTAATGAGGCCTCCAATAGCCATAGATATTTTATAAAATATATTTTTGATTTTAAGGTGTTAATGCGAGTATATATTCAAATTGGTAAATTTCACAAAACCAATATACCACTGTGTGAACGAGTATAACAGGGACGACTGCTCTCCACTCTCCCTTGATACTTTTAATCCCCCATATATTTGACATTGAATGTCTTTGTTTGTGTTTTATAATAATACTCTATTAGTTATACTTCAGCCTAGGCAGTAAATGTTCCCATTTTGTATGAAGAAGCTAACAAGTAAAATTTTATAACATTCCAAATATAACTGTGCTATAAATATTTCTTATCATTAAAATGTGGGGAACTATAAAGCTGATATGATGATGATAATAATGATGACAATGATGATGTATCAAAAGTCAAAAATTGCAAAAATCGAGTTGATTTTCCTTAGATTTAAATTACATAAAAGTCTTATCTTGAAGAATATTCCCTTCTTATTAATTAGAAAACCTCATTAAAACATTCAAATGTTTCTTAACATATAATACACGATGTGATCTAACTCTCTATCTACATGTGAACATTTCTATCTTACATATATCTCTATCTATATTGTAGTACGAAGTACCCATATCTTTATTTCATGCTCCGGTTTCAGTCTAAACATCCAAAAATTCGTGTACCGCAATTAAATTATATTCAAAGCGCAAGAGAAAATTGTCTCATGCATACAAATGGGCTGAGACTAAGAATTATAGCATTGAATTAAATATACTTCATTAATATTAAGTAATTTGTATTAGTTATAAAAGGTTTATCTTGTATATAGGGAATTCTACATATTCCATTCTACTACTTCTACTATTTCCATTCTTGCTTGTTTTTAATCTACTATATAATGTTATTGAAATTTGTGGTACCCCTTATGTACCCAGCTATTAATTTCTGCGCCCGCCACTGTATACCGTACATAGTTAGATCGACGCATTTATGTTGTATGCTTGCACATTTTCACAATTTGAAAATCTTGTCATACGGCCTTGAATACAACATTTTGAAAACTGCGACCATTAGCAGTGCTAAAACTCATTTAGTTCGCCAATGGGGTAATTAATATGTGGGTTTCGCCAGATTCCGCTAATAGATGTAGTTGGACATGTTAAAGTACACAAGTACAACAAAGATCTGAAGTACCAAACAAAATTGTAGTTGATAAATAATATTGCAAATAAGCACACACACTTTATAGGCAATCAACTTACTTATTAATGCATATAAAGTCTTGTATGGCGTTTAGATAATCCCCGGGAAATTCAATCATTTAATTTACACTTTTTATTTTCATATTGTATAGTATGTACAGATATGTATGTATATATTAAAATAAATGAACAAAACATTATAAATAATGAAAGAATTTAAAGGTTTCTGTTGAATACGCAGACTAAATATATTTTAGTACCACATAATCGTAGTTCATTTGATTCGAAGTGTTCAAATCAACCTCCAATGCAAAAGTCAACATAGAGTAACAAAGGAATGCCTAGAAGACCTCATTAGGATCGCTGTTTGCTTGGTCAGCCTTTTGCCTGGCACGTGCTAGCTTTGCTGACAACTCGGATGATCGAATTGTTTTGTACTGAAACAAAATAGCGCTATAAATAGAGTTTATATGTAAATATAGTGAGAGCAACTGTACCTCGCAGAAGTTCTTCTGTAGCACAATCTGTGATATGAGTCGACGACTTTCGCGCTGCCCAAAGTAACTCTCGATGGTGTGAGCAGAGAGCGCAAATATTTCCTCGCCGCTTAGCGTGTGCAGTCGCTTGACAATATTGTCGGAAAAGCCTTTGCCGCGCAACCATTCCTCCACTTCCTTGGGCGTGGAGTTCTGGGTAATATATATCTCGGGCGTCTTCAGGATTTCAAGATCCCTGCGCTGCTGTCTCTGTTGGAGCAACACCTTCAGCTCGTCGTTAACATCGCTCTGCATAAGGTAGGCCTCATCATCGGCATCGCAGTCGTTGCGAGCACGCATTGCTGTTTGAAGACCATGGTATTATATTGAACGATTTAGTTACGAATTGGGAAGTTGTTTTAGAACACACCTGCAAGGGTTCCAGCAGCGGCCATATTTCGTTTGAGGGTTCCACTCGGAGTCGGTGTTTGACTATCACTTGCCGGTGGCATCGGTGGAGGAATCGGCACATTAGGCATGGAGTAGGATCGCGGCATGTTTTTCGCATTTCCCACCGGTTGCTGTGATTCACGGTCTCCATTCGGCACGTACATTGCCATCGTGTTGCGGTAAAGTGGATTCTTTACCTCCCCATCACCATTTTCCATAGGTTCAGAGGCGAGTGACTCATTGTCGCGCATGCTCCTATTAAGTACGGGATCAAAATTGTAAGGGATTAAGACGGTGTGTGGTACGTAGCCAATGTTCCCTGAAGAGTTCCGTGCCTTCCACCAGTTTTTAGAGTCGTCGATTACCTGCATATGCCAAATAGAAATATTTAACATTCTTTCACACTTAATCATAGAAGAAGATAACAACTTACCTCCAAGTACTCGCCCTTCGCAACATTTAGTTCCTTATCATTGGTGGCCGTCTTATTATAAGCGACCTGTGCGATATTTACGTTGCGGCTCTGAAGGCGACTGAGCCAAGTGCGATTGCTTGTTGGGCTTAGAGGAACACCCACGGGCGACGACGTTGGCGTTTTCTTGAGCACAGGTGCTAAATACGCTACTGGCTCATCCACTACCCAGTCTGGCGACCAGTCGTCATAGAAAATGGGGTGGTATTTCCCTACGTGATCCTTAAATTGATCTTTCGGGACTGTCCAATTCGGGCCCAGACTAAGCCAGAGACTCTTCTCATTTGAGTCCAGTGTGGCATTCAAATATCCAATCGTTTCTCGGCGTAGCAGAGGATTGACAACGCTCTCCGGCAGATGAGTTCCGGCGTATACATCATTGCAGACGTTCACAATCGTTTGCAGGGATGTGAAAACATTGTGAATTGGATCAGCGGTCTTACTAAAATGGTTCTGCAGTTTGAATGAAAAATTAAGTGCCAACTTGATCTTG